CATACATACATATATATATATACATACACAGACAGACAGACAGAGAGAGAGAGAGATATGGAAGGAGAGAGAAACAGAGGAAGAGAGAGAGAGAGAAAGAGGGGAAGAGAGCGGGGTGAGGGAGAGAGTGAAGGGGAGGGGCAGAGAGAGAGGAAGAGAGAGGGAGAGAGAAAGAGAGTGAAAGGGAGGGAGTGAGAGAGGAAGAGGAAGGGAGAGAGACAGAGAGAAAGTGAAAGGAAGGGAGGGAGAGAGAGAGAGAGAAAGAAAGGGAGGGAGAGAGGAAGAGAGAGGGAGGGAGGGAGAAAGAGAGAGAGAGAAAGAAAGACAGTGAAAGGGAGGGAGCGAGAGAGGAAGAGAGAGGGAGAGACGGAGGGAGAGAGAAAGAGAGAGAGAAAGAAAAAGTGAAAGAGATGAAGAGAGAGAGAAAGAAAGAGTGAAAGGGAGGGAGCGAGAGAGGGAGAGAGGGAGGGAGAGAGAGAGAGAAAGAAAGAGTGAAAGGGAGGGAGGAGAGAGAAAGAGAGAGAAAGAAAGAGAGTGAAAGAGAGAGAGGGAGAGAGAAAGTGTCTCTGTGTGTTTGTGTGTGAGAGAGAGAGAATGAGAGAATTTTTGGTAAATCCGTTGAACGAGGTGCCGGAAAAGCCCTGATTATGGTTAGGAGGACAGATGTGCAATTAAAAAAGGCATAATACAGGTGGAAAGGGGGGTGCAGCCGAAGCCCCCCACCCCCAGCTAGGGACTCCCCCCACCCCTCACGGGTGGAGAGCGACACCGCAAAATCGAAGCAGATGGAAATTTGAGGCATCTCTCACACGCTCTGGGAATCCGGGGACGGGGTCTTTTCCAAGGGGAGGGGGCTAGGGACCCCCTCCCCCACAAACAAGACCCCTGGGACTCCCCCCAGTAATACCTTCCCTGGACCAGGGAGGGTCTCCAACATTGGCAACTTTAAGACTTGTGGACTTCAACTCCCAGAATTCTCCAGCCAGACCTGCTTATTCCTTTTCCTCCCACCTCTTGGAGATGAGGGATTGCAGAGAAAGGGATTACAAGAGAGTAAGCCGATCCCAACGGAGATCCACATCGAAAAGAGATTGCAGAGAAAGGGATTACAAGAGAGTAAGCCGATCCCAACGGGGACACCCATCAAAAAGAGATTGCAGAGAAAGGGATTACAGGAGAGTAAGCCAATCCCAATTGAAAAGAGATTGCAGAGAAAGGGATTACAGGAGAGTAAGCCGATCCCAATGGGGATACACATCGAAAAGAGATTGCAGAGAAAGGGATTACAAGAGAGTAAGCCAATCCCAACAGGGATCCACATCAAAAAGAGATTGCAGAGAAAGGGATTACAGGAGAGTAAGCCAATCCCAATTGAAAAGAGATTGGAGAGAAAGGGATTACAGGAGAGTAAGCCAATCCCAACGGGGATCCACATCGAAAAGAGATTGCAGAGAAAGGGATTACAAGAGAGTAAGCCAATCCCAACGGGGATCCACATCAAAAAGAGATTGCAGAGAAAGGGATTACAGGATAGTAAGCCAATCCCAATTGAAAAGAGATTGCAGAGAAAGGGATTACAAGAGAGTAAGCTGATCCCAACGGGGATACCCATCGAAAAGAATGGCTTCGGGTTCAGGGAATTCTGGAAGTTGAAGTCCCACAAGTCTTAAAAGTTGCCAAGGTTGGAGACCCCTGTACTCTAGACAGCTGGGGTGTGTGTGTGTGTTTGTGTGTGTGCAGAAAAGGTGGCATAATCTGTTGGGGGTGGGGGTTTGTCCTGGGAAGCCAGATCCCGGATCCCTCCGGCGGCCCCTTCAGAGGTCAGTGCTGGCCTTGGCGGTCAGCGCCTGGATGCGGGCGGAGTTGCAGCCTTTGCACAGGATGTGTCCATCCAACGGGTAGCAGCCTTGGTTGTCGCCTTCGGACAGGAGGCCTCCGCAGTCCTGGGGGGAAGAGACGGGAAACGGGGGGGGTGTTCGAGGCCGGGCGGGGGGGGGGGAGGGTGGGCTACGGGGTCCTTTGGCTTGGCCGGGGATCAGCCCCCCCGGGGCGGGGCGGGGGGGGGGGGGAATCTGGCATTTTAAACGGCCCCCCTTTCTTGGAGTTGCCACCCTGATTCCCATCTAGTCTCTCTCTCTCTCTCTCTCTCTCTCTCTCTCTCACACACACACACACACACACACACACACGGCATATTTCTAGAGGTGAAGGTCAAGGGAATGAATCCTTTCTTCCATTTTTCCTCCCTCCCTCTTCTGACTCCTTCTTCCTTTCCTCCTTCCCTTCCACTCTCCCTTCCTTCCTTCCTTCCTTCCTTCCTTCCTTTCCTTCCTCCCTCCCTCCTTTATCCTCACACTGCTTATCCTTCCTTCCTTCTCTGAATTCATCTTTCTTTCTTCCTTCCTTCCTTATCCTTGCTCTCCTTCTTCCTTCCTTCCTTCCTTCCATTCTTCCTTCCCTCCCTCCTCCCTGCCTTCCTCTCCTCCCCCTTCTTTCCTATCTTTCCATCCCTTCTCTTTCCTCCCTCCCTCTTCATACTCCTTCTTCCTTTCCTCCTTCCCTTCCACTCTCCCTTCCTTTCTTCTTTCTTTCTTTCTTTTCTTTCTTTCCTTCCTTCCTTCTTTCTCCTCCCTCCCTCCATCCCTCCTTTATCCTCACACTGCTTATCCTTCCTTCCTTCTCTGAATTCATCTTCCTTCCTTCCTTCCTTCCTTCCTTCCTTCCTTCCTTCCTTCCTTCCTTCCTTATCCTTGCTCTCCTTCTTCCTTCCTTCCTCCCTTTCTTTCTTCCTTCCCTCCCTCCTCCCTGCCTTCCTCTCCTCCCCCTCCTTTCCTATCTTTCCATCCCTTCTTTCTTTCCTCCCTTTCTCTTCCTTTCTCTTTCTTTCTTTCTCCCTCATTCTTTCCTCCTCCCTCTCTTTCTCTTTCTTTCTTTCTGTCTCCCTCCCTCCCTCGTTCTTTCTTCTCCCTCCCTCCTTTCTTTCTCTCCTTCCTTCCCCTCCTCCCTCCCGTGAGAGCCAACAGAGAGGGGGGGAAAGAGAGACCAGAGGCACCCACCTCACACCGGTAGCACAGGACATGGAAGTCGCGGTCCAGGGCCACGATCCGGACAGTTTCCTCCTGGCCCTGGGCGGGCATGATGGGTTCCTTGCAGACGGAGCATCGCGGGGCAAATTTCCTGGGGTGGGGGGCGAGAAAAGGTAAGAGTGAACAGCGAGTGGTCCTTGACTTACGGTCACAACGGAGCCCCCCCTACCCTTTTTTTGTGGCTCAGTGAGACATTTGTTCCGTGAGCAACGCCTGTAGGGGAGAAACAGACTAGGAGAGGCGAGGCGAGAAAGAAACTAAAGATTTCTTTGTCTTGGTGCTCTTGGGCATAAGAGTAAGACGAGAGAATCTTTACCAGGCGGTCAAGATTTTTACACAAGGAACGCAGGCCTCGGGTTCTGCTAACCTGGGTCCATCGTGTTGTGTGAACACTCAACTCGCTGTCAGGATTCCAGCAATCGCCCTAATGAAATCATCTCAGAGCCAAACTTCAAAAAACTTCAAAGGATTCATTAGAGGCGACATACCGGCCCTGCCCTGGATGAAGCCTCTAATAAACCCTTTGACTTTTTTTGAAGTTTGGCTCGAGAATCCTGATTTCATTAGGGCGATTGCTGGAATCCTGACAGCAAGCCAACTCTGGCCTCCGTTATTTGCGGTCCCCTGGATCCTGTTTCCCCGCTGGATTGTCTCATAAACCAGATTCTCCAACTGAGCCCCGTTCACCAAGCTGGGTGTCATCATTCACATCCTCCAATTAAATATATTCGCAGGCAAAAGCTCCGGTAAGTTTAGTTACAACCTTTTAAAGAGAAGAGTTGGAATGGACTCCCGCTTTCAAACTGCTGCGCTGCACTTCCAGATTTCCTTCCTCTCCTGTTTTATTTATTTTTTAAATGGCAACTCCTAAAACAGGCCTAGGAACGCTTTATGAGTGGAACCCACGTTTATTTTCATGTACACCCCACCCCCATCGTTTCTCCAGCCCTCCAGACCCTCTGCAAACACACACACACACACACACACACATGCACACACACCTGTGGAAATCCTCAATGCAATGAATGTTGCCTCCGGCATCCACAGTGAAGGGGATGCCATCCAGGCTCCGGTTGCAAATCACGCAGGTGAAGCAGTGAGGGTGGTACGCTTTCCCGGTGGCCCGCAGGATGCGCTCCATGATGGGCTTGGCACAGACACTGCACGGCTCCAGGGTGTTCTGAGGGAAGGAGAGACGGAGTGGAACCGGTCAGCGACAAAGAGGTGGGTTGTTTCTCTTTTTTTAAAAAAAAAATTGTTATAAATGCCTTTTACTGTTTTCATTGTTTTTTTTTTTTAAGTTTGAATTGTGAACTGCTGAGTTTGGCTGAGATGGCTGGGATAGAAACCTCTCTTCCTCTCCCTCCCTCCCTCCCTTTCTCCTCTCTCTACTTTGTCCATCTGTGTCTATCTATCTATTATCTATCTATGTCATCTAATTATCTATTTATAATCTATTTCATCTGTCTTTCATCTATGTCTATCTACCATTTATCTATCTATCTCTCTATTATCTATGTATCTATCTTGTCTGTCTGTATTTATCTGTCTATGATCTATCTATACCACCTATTTATAATCTATTTCATCTGTCGTTCATCTATATCTATCTACCATTTATTTATCTATTATATCTATCTATCTATCTATCTATCTATCTATCTATCTATCTATCTAT